CCACAGGGACGGACAATTGCCTCCTTTATCCCGCCAGGATGGGCAGCTCAGCAGCCTCAGCTGAGGGAAATTTCGGGCATGGTTCGGAAAACTAGCAGGAGTCGGTCCGCGCGGCAGGAATCTGCTAAATGCAGTGCATCCGCACCGAAACAAGCCGCCATGATCAGGGTGAGCATCGGAGGTCGGAGGGTATGGGCGTTAGTCTACTCCGGAGTCGAAATCGAAGGTGTAATAGGACAGCGGCGGCGAATGAGTGGCGGGCGTAGCTTCCTACCGCTAATACTCGTTTCCAGGCAGGCTCACGTGCTCGACATGTTCCACGGTCACAACACCGCCGGTCATCGGGGCTTCCGGGGGACACTTGAGCGGGTGAAAAAGCGCTGGTACTGGCCCGGGATGCACGGTGATGCCAAAGCCTACTGTAAATCCTGCAATCTATGCCAGCGACGCCACTGGCCAACGCCCGTAATGAGCACCCCGCTCCAGACAGTCGTGCACACGACCGTTCGAAAGGGTAACTTTGGACATCACTGAAATGACTCGGACAAGTGGGGACAATCGGTACGCACCAGTCATAGACTATTTTTCTAAATTTGTCCGAGTGTATCCCCTGCCTGATCAAAAGGCAGAGACCGCGGCAGACAGCTTGTTGCTCTGGGTTTATGAGCACTGCGTGCGGAGAGGGTCCATGCTGACAAGAACGCCAGTGTGGGTCAAATGTTTTTTTTTTCAGGGCCTTCGTCGCAGACCTAGGCGTTACAAAAAACCAGAAGAACACCTTGCCACCCTGAGAGACTGTATGGTCGGGCGGTTTGATCGGACGTTGAAATACCTCTATCTTTGGCATACAATTCTTCTTTTACACAGTGCAACTGAGTTCACCCGATACCTCCTGGTCTAACGGACGAGAGGTCCGGCTTCCTGGCGATACGCTTTTGGCTCTCATGGTCCTGCTTCACCCGTACGGAGCCTCCTCGCGCAAAGAATGCGGAGAATCCAAGACGCGTGTCGCGATGGTTCATGCCCAACACGCAACCGGCAACTGAGGCGATGCAGGCTGACGATTTGACCGTGTGCATGAGGTTCGATACAAGGCGGGAGATAAGGTCATGATGGACGGACCCGACAGCCGCGGTAAGCCGAAATTGGGTTACCGTTCGCGGAACCAGGAAAGGTTGATCGAGAGGCTTGGGGTGATGCTGGGGCGTGTATCGCGTTGCGGTTACCGCGGCGGGGCGAGGTCATCCTCCACCGCAACGAGCTGAAAACTTGCACAGACAGGCATGATCCGGGACCACAGAGCAAACGACAAGGGGAGCCCGGAATCAGGAGCGGGTTTCCCCGCGCCGCGAGGAATTATCGGAGGCGGCCGGCAGAGCTGAGGAAGCTCGTGCTGCTGGGGTGGGCAGGCCGTCATCCAGGACATACTGTGACGTACTCGCAGTGGACGAGTTGTTCAGCCCCCTGAACCTTACACCGCCCAGATGCCAATAGTGTCTGCCGCTATTGTTATTGATAACGGACACTATAAACAAAACATGCGTCCTGGATTCTGTTGGGATGCCGTCTTCATCATACATTTCTGAACTTGTATCTCCGCCGGATGGTGGCGGAACGTCCGGCCGCTTGTCGCGTTCGTGGCCTTATTCGTTGGGACGCTTCAGCTGCCTTCACGAAGCAAATCACTTCTGCATTAGTGTGGGACCGCGGAGCGCAATACTGGACTGCGCTGCTCCATCCCCGTATCACGTACGGTCTGCTGACGGAGACGAACGGCATGTATGTTCCTAATAGCGTGACGTCGTCGGACGCATTTTCGTCGTGAGGGTTGGCAAATGTACCTCGGTTTAGCGCTGCCAACAGGCTTCTTGTGCCCTTGTGAAAGGAAATCTGTACAGGTCGTACGTGGTCGTTTTTCTGGCTATAAATTCCCCAAACCACAGCACACAACCTAATCGCTATGGCTGCATTTTCCTGTCTTTCGGTTTTGCGACGCTGCTTGTGGCTGAAAGAACGGAGGCGTGAGTCCGGGATACCGAACCATCTCATGATTGCGTTTCGACGTTCGGGGACCAGAATGGCAGTCCGCGCACGGGCCTTGCAGCCGCCCCATGCGGGCGTGGCCAGAGGGTCGGCTTGTACATGCGTGACCAGATTGCGGGACCCGCTGTCCCCTCCCCGTCCCCCCCCCTCAGCGTGCTCCCGTGGTGCAGACAATCGCCGATATCATTGCGATTTCGCCGGCATGGCATTGAGACATGACGCTGCATATCGCCGCCACGGTCGTCTGTGCAAGCGATTTCGGGCTATGCCAGATTTGGTTGCTTTCTGAGTGATGGTTTGCTTCAATGCTTGCTTGCTAGCATTCGTCATGCTTGCATTTTCGACCGTTTTCTTTGTTTTCGTTGGCTGGTTTCTGATTTCGGTGGATTTCTCACCGTGGCCAGGGTCATTTGTGATTGCACAGGTGCCCAGTTTTCCCGTAGTTCGACGCATTCCCAAAATACGGCTTTGCATGTATTGGCTTTGCCAGTGTCTGATTGGGTGATGTGTGTTGCGACGCGGTACTACCAAAACGTTCCTCCAAAATCGATCCTGCTTTTCGTCTGTGGCCGAGGGTCATGATTGTCTATGGCTGTCGTTGCTGATGATGCCAGCAACGATGCTGACCGATGAGTTACAGACGTTGAGTTATGACGATGAGTTACAGACGGCGAGACGGTACTCGCACTCCGATCGACACGACAGTTGCTTCTTTTTCCACTTGTGCGTATTTGCGCTTCGTCAGAGTCAGAGGTCGCGGGGTGTACTGTACCGGCCTCTCCAGGCCTTCAGCGGTCACCTGCCATGAGCACGGATGGGCACAGGCGGATATCATGTTCGGCCGTAACGTTCGAACACGGCTGAACCTGCCCATCCCAGCTGCAGAAGACGCGCTGCGGGACAGCGCGCGGCGTCAGCGGGCAGCCACGACAATGACGGTGGTGGAGCGACCGCGGGCGGCGGCGCAGTCATGGAGGCGGTCGCTGGCGATGGCGGCCCTGGAGTGGTCGCCGCTGGCGACGGCGGCGGTGACAGCCGCGCCTGCCTCAACTGTGGCGAGGAGGGCCGGACGCAGAGACCTTGGCCAGTCGGACCCCACGCCGCCAGGCCGTGTCGCTCGTCGCGCGGGCTCGCGGCGCAGCGCGCTGTGGCACGTGCCCAGACGCGCGAGCGTGCGCTCCCGGCTCGGGACACGCGACCGACACGGGAGCTGTTATCGGCTTGTTTCTGCATGGCAATAAGTCATGATTGATAGCAAGTCAATATATGGCCGCTACATTGTTTAGCTGCCATCAAGCCCCGTACCACAGCTGACATAACATGTGCCTTCTGATGTCCTGGAAAGTTATTGTCATCCCGCAATATTGACTAACGGAGGCAAATGTTTTGTAATGTATAGAACACAAGTACTTTCTCTCCACTCTGTATAACATTCAGACTGCTTTTGTTGCCGTAACCCCTCGCCCCTCTAACACACATTTACACTGATTGCTTTGTTTTTCAAAGATACGCAAAATACATATTTGTTTGCATTCATTCCAAAACGCGTTCACGTGTGCGGCCGAAAGTACACTGAAAGATGGAGTGTGTGTGTGGAGTGTGGAGTGAGCCCAAAACAGCCCTCCCAGCACGCCTGACGCTGAGCCTCGTGCCGTAGCTGGACCTTGGACCTTGGACCTGGCGAAAACCGCCTCGTGCGTCCGCGTGTCCTGTTCACATATTGACATTGCGGCCCGCCGTTTGTTCGCGTATGACACAGCGCAAAATGTGACAGTCATACAGATCATGTTTATAGAGTGCTGGTCCAGCGGCCTTGTATTATGCTACTCCCCTCCCCTTTCGCGGCATGTTTTGCTAGTCGCGAGTCATAGCTATATCTGCGTGAGTTGCGTGAGATCACCCCCTCCGTGTTAATCTGTTGGCCGGCGACCTGGGGCCTGAAGCAACGGGGCATGTGTGAGGGTGTGCGTTTGTGCCTCGTAACTACTGCGATGCACAAATTTGAAGCTGTCTATCCAATCAAGGCCATCAAAGCATTCAGTGGCGAGTGAGAATAATCTTGTGCCAGTAGGTTTTGAGGGTCTGGGTCTGAAGGTCTCTTTTGCCGTCTACAGCTGAAACAAACACACGCGACCCATCTATTTCATCTATGGGGCAAGGACACGCCACAGGGTATGGGTTGGAAGGGAGCGCTCGACTGGAATGCATGCCCTCATTGCGTGCCTACACTGTGCTGCATATCATCGGCGTCACTTCATAACGCCACTCTCTCGCTGCTTCTGGGCCCTGTCCATATTGTGACAGTCGACGTACTATCACTTTTTAGTACTTTTTATTCGCGCATTTTGTGCCCGTCTGAAATGGCAGGCTGTGACGAGGAGCTCTGGGTCTTTGAGGAGTTCTCAAATCAGTCGTCCGGCACAATTCTGCGCCGCCTGGCAATGGTATCCTTAACTTCGGGACGCGTCGGTTCCCTGTCACGAGGAAAACTGTAACCTATTCCAAACGTCCTCAGGGAGGCTCAATTTATTGTTCGAAGTCTGTAAATCCACAATTTTGGCAAGCGAAATGATGTGTCTCCGATCTTGCTCTCGGGCGCTACTAACGCCACCTAACGGCCGCCGCCGATACTAAGGGAACAAAAAATGCCGGTGGGGTCGCTGATGGCGGACGACCCACAGGTCACATTCCAAGTGGGGTTCCAGACCTGTCACGATACCCGTCCTTCTGCATTGCCCGTGGCTGGCTGGCTGGTCGGATGGCGCACCGCGTAAGGAAGCTGGACCGTCACCTTGTTGGGCTGCGAGCCGCGCGCGCTGCAGCCGGAGCCGCGGGCGGGGCTGCGTCGCGCGACCAACCGCCTCTACCCGTGCGACAGCACAGCACGGCAGCGTGCCGGAGCCGCTCAGGAATCGCTCCTCGGGTCAGAGCGCGGTCTACGTACCGGTGTCGGCCAACTACGACGCCACGTTGCAGAGACCCTCGTACCGCGAGTTGCACTTGGTGCCCTGCGGGCACGCAGAGCACGTCCGCCCCATCCGGTACGTTGGCTTGCTGACGACATTACCACCAGGCCCGTAATTGCAGTACAGCAGCACCTGGAGAAGAGCGGTGCTAACTGTCACCGTTTCAATCCATGCAGACGATGTTTGTCTAGACCATTCACCGAATCAGGATCGTGGTTGGCGATTGGGCCCTTCTGCGATGAGAAGGGCCTCATTTCGCTGGCTGCTGGTGGTATATGATAAATGATAATTATTTAATCATTGCTTTATACCTGCTGATAATTAAAAATCCGTCAATTTATGCAGTAATTACTTCTAACCGTCTCCGAACATGTGGGTATAGGTGCAAGGCTATCGTATGCTCTCGAGGTCAACAACTCTCGTCTGGATGGTGGTCTTCCACATGCTTCTCAATCCTGATTTATGTCCTTATAATGCAATGTGCGGCATCGACAATGAAGTCAATCGTCCCAGCACGGACGCCTGCTTACTCGAACATGTTGACGAAGTCTACAGATGCGTGGACGGACTCGGCAAACCAGGTCTGGGCCAAATCCAGTACTTTTCGGTGGAAGTTTTCAACGCCCTGCTGGGAGGTGCCCAATGCGGCGATGTTCTGGCCGACGACAAAGAAACGTGCTGTAAATGAGACATACAATTTAGGCGTAGTGGTGTTGACCGCTTCGGGAACCACTTCCCATCACGTTACAGGTCGGCTACGATCGCTGTTGGCCTTGCGGCTAGCTCGGCACTCGCTGCAGCCATGGTTTCCAGTGCACTGCTCCGCCTGCGCCTGAGCTGTGGCCTCCAGCTCCTCGCCCCATTCGCTGCAGCCATGGTTTCCAGTGCGCTGCTCAGCCTGCGCCCCAGCGCACAGAGCAGCGCCAGCAGACCGACGGCAAAGGCAGATGCAGAAGCCATGGCGAGGCAGAGATCGCACTGCGGACGACGACGGTCCGAGACGGAATGAGTCGCTGCTTGACGGCGGGTGCCTTTTTGATGTGAGCACCAGTGGGACGAGAGGCGCCTGCAGGCGGGGAGCGCCGCCGGCTGTCCAAGGATCCGGCTCTCCACTTCCCTCCCCAGAGGGGTGCGACGGCTGGCGACGTGTTCTGCTTTTTTGGCGGCGTGGCTGCGACGCCATTTGCACCGGCGTGAAAAGCCAAATCAAACATATCCAAATACAGTCGTCCTTCCACGAGCATGTGCGGCTCGGCAGCTGACACTAAACATCACACAGAACGCTTGTTGGAGACCCTGCTCTTGACGCACAATACCGTTCAATCGCCGTCCCCTGTCGCCCCTATTCCATGATTGCTCGTCCCTTGCCCCCCCCCCCCTCCCCCCACTGCGTGCTCACCTTCGTGCCCAGGCCGCCCTGGTGAGTGACTACGCCACAGCCGATGTAGCGGGTGATGGACCAGACCGCCTGCGCGAAGTGGCCGTACGTGCCGGTGTGGCAGCATCCCCGACTGAAATCACGGCACACGTACAAGCGCAATCGACTCTGTTTGGGGGGCGACGACACGCAGCGCTCGCCCTGCTGGGAGTCGGTGAGGCGCGCCGCGCCGACCCCAGCGCGGGTCCGTCAGGTCTCCGGACGCGGCGGCAGAGGCGCAGACACCAGAGACTGATGACCCACACACCTGACACCCGAGACTGATGACAGCCAGACGCCGTGGCGGACACCTGCGCTGACACCGGCGGTGGTGGCGACAGGCACCCGGCTTCGCGGCTTACAGACGCGGCGGCTGATGTCTGGCAACCCGTGGGTATGTTTACCTATCATGGGAATATCATCGTTGCCCATCAGACATCATGAGCGGGGCGGAATCACGCCAAGCTAACCTGGTACATCACGCCGCGATGCTTGGATAAGCTTCAACAGCCTACGGTCAACTCCCGGACAATGTCGGCAACGTTTTTGTGTGCGATCTCGGATATGTGTCCATTTGTTATTTCTCAGTATTTCCTTACTCCGCGACTCTCGCCTGGATGGTGGTCTTCCACATGCTTTTTTATCCTGTTGAGTGCGGTTATCATTGAATGTGCGGCACCGGCTGAATGTGCGGCATCTGAATTTAAGCCAATCGTCCCAGCAAGGACACCTTACCACTCGAACGTGTTGACAAGTCCACAGATGCGTGGACGGACACGGCAAACCAGGTCAGGGCCATATCCAGTACTTTCTGGTGGAAGTTTTCAACGCCCCGCCGGGAGGGGCTGAACGCAGCGATGTTCTGGCCGACGACGACGAAACGTGCTGTAATTGAGACATACAGTTTAAGGGAATGCGTACATATGCATTTCGGTCGTTTTTTTGTCAATTCAGTAAGTTGAGTGAGCCCTTTGACCCCAAGTCGCTTTACTGGGGTGGGGATTGTGGAGCAAACGGTCAAACGGGCTTTTGCAATCCTCAGCAGAAACGGCGTGAAGCGCCTCGGGACGTCAAAGATCAATATCCAACTAATGAAACTCTCATAGCACCAATATGAGAACTTAATTATCAATCAAAAATAATCACATGCGACGCTGTTTCACCGTTTTTGGAAAGCTTTGGGAGCCACTCCCCATCACGCTACAGGTCGGCTACGATAGCTGTCGGCCTTACGGCTAGCTCGGCACTCGCTACAGCCATGGTTTCCAGTGCACTGCTCAGCATGCGCCTGAGCGGTGGCCTCCAGCTCCTCGTCCCATTCACGGAGAACAAAACTGGGCAAATAACAATTCTGGGTAAACGTCTTTGTGCACAGCCCTTAAACACACTTAATCCTTCATCGCGTCAGTTATCAGCAAGCGGAAAATACTTCTAAGGCACTGAGAGTTAAAAAGGGTGTGCTTGTGTGCTTACCAAAAGGCAATGTCTAAAGTCAACAAATCTCACCTTAGTTAGACCAAAAATAGGCTAACTACACATATACCTTCAGAATTATGCGGTTGCCTCGGTACTTCCTTCCCAAAAATGAGAGCGTGATGTATTTCACTGAAACAAGGAAACTGCGTCGTCTAGCAGTAAGTAAATGCGGGTGATCAGTTTCGGCACCTACACTTTAGTGGTGGACCAGACAGTGGCTTAATCTATGGTTTTATCTACTAACAAGTAGAGTCAAGCCCCTCCAACATCACTGGCCAAGCATTATACGACCATGACTGAAGCCCCTTTGATGATCTGGCATCACTAACTTACGAGAATTCTGCAGCTAAGGCAGAATGTGGGCTGTGAGACTCCCACACACCATCTCCAGAGTATCGTGGACCTCGCACTCACATCTCCAGGGCACTCTGGACCTCACTCACCATCTCCAGAGCACTGTGAACCTCGCACTCACCATCTCCAGGGCACTCTGGACATCACTCACCATCTCCAGGGCACTGGACCTTGCACTCACCATCTTCAGGGCACTGGACCTTGCACTCACCATCTTCAGGGCACTGGACCTTGCACTCACCATCTCCAGGGCACTGGACCTTGCACTCACCATCTCCAGGGCACTGGACCTTGCACTCACCATCTTCAGGGCACTGGACCTTGCACTCACCATCTTCAGGGCACTGGACCTTGCACTCACCATCTTCAGGGCACTGGACCTTGCACTCACCATCTTCAGGGCACTGCGCGTCTCCCACCCACCAACTCCGAAGCAATGCAAACCTCTCATTTGCTATCTCCAGAAATCATTTATCTCCAAGTCACCACCTCTGGAGCACTTCAGACCTCTCGATACCTCAGTGTTGTGACCCTCCCACACACCGTCTCCACAGCACTGATCCTTTCATTCACACTCTGACGGTGTCATGCAATCTACCACTCGCGATCGACAGAGCACCATCTCCCTTTGGGTGTCTCCAGAGCACCGCTGTCTCCCTCTGGCCACCTACAGAACAATTTGCGCCTATCACTCACCGTCTCCAGAGCGATGTCTATCTCTCTCCGGCCACCTCCAGAACCCTTTGACCCACACTTACTTACCGTCTTCAGAAACCCGTCTCCAGAACGATGTCTATCTCCCTCTGGCCACCTTCAAACTCCTGCGGGCCTTTTAACTCGCCGTCAGTTCCAGCATGTCAGCGGCTTGCGGCAGCTTGCCCCTCTGGCCGTCCACAGGCCGCGGGCCACGCGGCTGCGCACGACGCTGTGCAAGTGCACCAAGTCTGCGCGAGCTGCCGTGGCATTCTGCGGTGGTAGACCTGGCCGCAGTTGGGAGACTGCTCGCGTTGCTGGCATAGTGATGTGGAAGAGGTTGGCGCGCCGCTGGCCGGAGCCGCCAGCGCGCAGAGCAGCACCAGTAGACCGACGGCAAAGGCAAAGGCAGAGAAAGAGGCAGAGGCAGATGCAGAGGCCGTGGCAAGGCAGAGATCGCACTGCAGACGACGGTCGGAGACCGAATGGGTCGCTGCTGGACGACGGGTGCCTTGTCGATGTGAGCACCAGTGAGGCGCCTGCGGGCGAGGAGCGCCGCCGGCTGTCCCAGGATCCGGCTCCCCACTTCCCCCTTCAAAGGGGTCCGACGGCTGGCGGCGTGTTGGGATCAGGTCTGGTCCGTGGAGAAATGGAGCAGGCGAAAACAGGCGCTTTGCACGCGCTTTGCACCAACCAGTGTGCGTATTCAAACATATTTTTCCTCTGCACCTCTAAGGAGAAAATTCAAACGAAATTAGTAAAACCTTAGTTGAAATCACTTTCATCTGGATTTCTAGCCATTATGGGACAGTTAGTAATGGAAAAGCGGACGCCGAAGCGAAATCATTTCTTTGTCAAGACCACCTCTTCACCGTTAATCTACCGGCCGACGATGTAGGATCTGAAACCACAGAGCATGCATATATATATACATATTATAAACATAAAGCAACGTGTGTGTCTCGTGACTACTGCGTTGAAAAAAAAATTGGGAGGAGGTTGTCCATCCAATCTAAGCCACCAAAGCCTTCAGCGGCGAATGGAAATCATCTTGCTGTGCCAATAGGTTTGGAGGGTCTGGGTCTGGAAGTCTCATTGCCGTCTTCGGTTGAAACACAAACACGCGACGCATCCATTTTATGAATGGGGCCGGGACACGCCACAGGGTATGCTTTGTAGGGAGCGCTCGACCGTAGCACATGTCCTCATTATGCGACTACACTGTGCGGCGTATCATCGGCGTTACTCCACAGCGCCACTCCACAGCGCCATTCCCTCGCCTTTTGGGTCCTGGCAATGTTGTGACACAGCCGGCGTACTTTCACCTTTTAATGCTTTTCTTAGCGCATTTTAGGGCCGTACGAAAGCGTAGGTGCGCAACGAGGAGGCTCGTGTCTTTGGGGAGACCTCGAATGGGTCGTCCGGCAGAGCTCTGCGCCGCCTGACCAGCGTATCCTTTGCACACATTTATTCCGGACACGGTGGTTCCCCGTCACGAGGAAAACCGCATCATATTCCAGATGTCCTCAGGGAGGCTCAATTTATTGTTCGAAGTCTGCCATTCCAGTTTTGGCAAGAGAAATGATGTCTTTCAATGGATGGGTGGTAATGTGAATCTGGTCATTTGCATTCCCCATGTCAGGCGTCACCACTGAACACTACAATATCTCTGTCGGACACGACTTGAACGTCACGTCACGTCACGTCGGTGTCCGCCAGCTACGACGCCGCGTTGCAGAGACCGTCGTACCGCGAGGTGCACATGGTGCCCTGTAGCCACGCAGGACATGACCTTCCCATCCGGCACGTTGGCTTGCTGACGATGTTACCACCAGACCCATGCAGACGATATTTGTCTAGACTATTAACCGAATCCGGATTGTGAGGGGCAATTGGACCATTCTGCGATGAGAAGACTTATTCCGCTGGCTGCTGATGGTACATGATGGATAATAATTATACAATCATAGCATTATGCCTGCTGATAACTCGAAAAATCGCCAATTTATGCAGGGAACATTACTAACCACCCCCGAACATGTGGGTATAGGTGTAAGGCTGTCGTATGATTCCAGGTCAACGGCGAGAGATGCCAAAGTAAATATTTGCAGTTACAGGCGTTCTTCCACAAGCATGTGCGGCCCGGCAATTGACACTTAAACATCACATAGAACGCTTGGAGACCCTGCTTTTGTTGCAAAACACCGTTCAATCACCGTCCCCTTCCGCCCCCACTCCGTAATTACCCGTCCCTTACGCCCCCCCCCCCCCTCCCCCACTGCGCGCTCACCCGTCCGCCGCCGCCCCCACCGCGCGCCCACTTGTCCGCCGCCGCCCCCGCTGCGTGCTCACCTTAGTGCCCAGGCCGCCCTGGTGAGTGACTACGCCACAGCCGATGTAGCTAGTGATGGACCGGACCATTTGCGCTAAGTGGCCGTACCTTCCAGTGTGGCAGCATCCCAGACTGAAATCACGGCACACATCATGTTTAAGGTACAAGCGCAATCGCCTCTGCTTGGGGACGACGAGACACAGCGTTCGCCCTGCTGGGAGGCGGCGAGGCGCGCCGCGCCGACCCCAGCGCGGGTCCGCCAGGTCTCCGGCCGCGGCGGTACAGGCGAACAGACACCAGAGACTGATGACCCAGACACCGTCGCACCCGGCTTCGCGGCTGACAGACACGGCGGTTGATGTCTGGCAACACGTAGGTTTGTTTGCCTACCTTGAGGACATCATTGTTGCCCATCAGACACCATGCGCGGGGCAGAATCATGTCAAACTAACCTGGTACACCACGCCGCGGTGCTAAAATAAGCTCTAACAGCATACGGTTGGCTGTTGGAACAATGATTTCGGCAGCGATTTCATGTACGATTTCAGATGTATGTTGCCCATTTGTTATCTGGCAGTTATTTCTTATTCAGCGACTCTCGTCTCGATGGTGGTCCTTTACATACCTCTTGATCCTTATTTAAGATCATATAATGTGCGGCATCGGAATTAAGTCGTCCCAGCAAGGACGCCTGCTTACTCGAAAGTGTCGACGAAGTCCACAGATACGTGGACAGACCGGCAAACCAGGTTTGAGCCAAATCCAGTACTTTACAGTAC